GCTATAATTGAGCAATTTTTTGAGATCTGATGCCTTGCTGGTGACATATTTTATTCATGTAAAAGTGTACAATTCATAATCCATGGCTAGATAACAACATCAAGTTTCATTTGATATATGAAAATTATGATTTTGTATAAAAAAAGAAATAAAAAGTTATAGCATTTTTTTGGCCCACTCTGTATGATTTGAGTCACACATAATATTTTAACAGAACCTTCTCTTGGAATGAAATAAGAGACAATTATATTTTATTACAACTCTTTCTAAGTATCACATAGTTTCTGTAATAAAAACATTTTTAAAACTTTTATACAAATCTTATACAAGATTTACTAGATGTCCTAAACGTTGTACCTAAATAAACAAAAAATACTTACAGTTTATTGTACGTTAACTTAAAGTTAAAAACTAATTTTCCCCAAAAAATCATTTTTTCAAATAGCAGATAAATATTAATAGAAAATTAGATATTTCATTACTTTCCGCGAAATTTGTTATGTTTTAAATTATCTTACTTCCATGTATTTCTCTGAACAAAATGAAAAATGGTGATTGAATAGATATTGTATTTTGTTTATCACCACCGATGAAGGTGAATAAATAAGGGTTATGTACTGGGAGGTTTTGGATATGGGGTTTATCCAGAGGGAGATATGCATATCTACCTGAGGGACCGTAGGGACCGAAGGTAGATGTGCATATCTCACGAGGGATGAACCCCATATCCAAACCGACCGTACTTAACTGCTTTAGCCTATACCAAGTAGAGTTTTATTTTTTCAATTTTTTCACATTTTTCAATTTTTTTTCAATTTTTTCTATTTTTTCAAATTTTTATTTTTTTTATTTTTTCAAATTTTTCTTTTTTTCAATTTTTTTCAAATGGAGCGGGAGATATGGAGGTTCAGGATATGGAAACCTCAAAATCAGGATACGGGATATATCTTACCAACTTATCTCCCTAAAACTCTACTTGGCATAGGATAATACCTCTTTGGTATATCCCGTATGTATATATACGGTCGTAATTAAATCATGTAATCATGGAAGGTAGACCCAGGATCCCCTCTTAGGAAGAGACTCGTGTTTTTATGTACACATAGACATACAAGTACGTACCACACGTCGACACGGCCTTTTGTACGAGTTGTAGACTACTCAATCAAACAGCTCGAAGTACTTTACGCAACCAAAAAATGAAGTATTGCCTGAACCAGGAATCGAATCCAAACCTGTTGCGTAATTGGTACATACATACTACCGAGCTACACGGGTGATACTATTACATAAAACTTTAGAGACTTTCAGATGCCTATGATGATTAAATCGTCTGTCAGATGACAACATTTGAAGAAGATGTCTTACTCCTCTTGTTATCTCATGTAAACACTGTACAAATTCTTCCGGGACACCAAGTATTTTGTCTTTCAACATTAACGGGAAAAAGTAAATGCGAATGTCAAACAATGCGATAACAAAAAAAACTATGCTCGGATAAAAGTATTTGTCTTGGAAACAGTTTCTGGTGAACCAAAGCGACAAAAAAAATATCAGCTTAATTGTGAGGAATATTTTATTTAGACTTTTTATTTAGTTCCCTGGGTTGGAAACGGTGTCGTTGGGTTCGCATTTGATATTAACTATACCCGATACAAGGTATGTTACGTCAGTGGATCTAAATAAGGGAAACAGGTCAGTTGCATTGTTGACATCAAACACTGTCTGTTGTGCGCAGTTGCACGCGTCAAAAGATTATTCACCTATAGATAGAAATGCTTACTTACTGGTAAACATGGATCCAGTTCAAGCCTAAATAAGGGAAATAAGTCAGTTGCATTGTTGACATCAAACACTGTCTGTTGTGCGAAGTTGCATGCGTCAAAAGAATATTTACCTATAGATAGAAATGCTTACTTACTGGTAAACATGGATCCAGTTCAAGCCTAAATAAGGGAAATAAGTCAGTTGCATTGTTGACATCAAACACTGTCTGTTGTGCGAAGTTGCATGCGTCAAAAGAATATTTACCTATAGCTAGAAATGCTTACTTACTGGTAAACATGGATCCAGTTCAAGCCTAAATAAGGGAAACAAGTCAGTGGCATTGTTAACATCAAACACTGCCTGCTGTGCGAACTTGCACGCGTCATAAAATCGTAACCTTGAACTTTCAATAATATTTCCTATCAGTATGGTCTCTCGTTTCCAGGGTTCGTCATGTACAAATAGTGCGTTGGGAACTGGAATTGTAGTGTAATAAACTGTTGGAGTTGCATTATTAGTTGCTCCGAACGTGGTCAACAATCCAATACAAACGAAAATTTCCACGCGAAAAGTGACGGTCATGATGCCGCGATGTAACTAAATGTGCATTATATGTGTTTTGATAGTTTAAAACACTTTTGGTTTAAAATGACAGCATTACATTGTATTATGCAAGCTAGCGGAACGTGTTTTTCTGTTTACTGTGTTCAGAGAACTTGTTCATTTTCAGATAATAATGAATTAAAAAAAAGAATCAGATATAGCGATAACTTTGGCTATTTTTGAGCTCCATCTTGACAAAAAGTGTTAAAATTCTTAAATATTTTTGGGGCTCATACCATTCCTTGTCATGTCTTCATGTCTTTTATCTAAAATACCCGAAGTATATACTTTATTTCGGAAAACTAACGATTTTTACAATAATGCAATAATTTGTCTATAAGAATGGTTATCCTTCTTATTATTTGGGGGAATTTAATTATTTCCCCCCCCCCCATTTTAGCACTTGAAATCTGAAATAACTTCACCAATCGAGAACATATTACGGAATTTTTCGGGAGATATTATATTTTAGCTTGTAAGGGATACATTGGTACATCACTTGTACAATATTGCTTCCTATCTTGTCACTCATTATATATCTGATTCTGCCTTTAACATAATCAAGTACATTTCATAATAGGATTTTACAAGTTTTTAAGGGACGAGGTGTAATCTTTGTGGATGTGGAGAAGATACTAAACATTAATGTCGTCAGAAGTGGGTGGTTTTATTTGATCCAAGTTTTTAAAATGTTATAAAAACACAAAACGTTCTGTACAGTATATTACATCTGTTTACCGTTCATCATAAACACATCCATTCTTTCAGTTAAGTTAAGATTTATGATTGTTAACGGTATAGTAAAATCTTGATATCATTTTGCGTGTTTTATTAAACTATCAACAATGTACCTGTACGATGCTTTAGATTTTCAAGTTAGTCTCGAGCGAGATCAAATAAAAACATGAAAAGGCTAGCGTGCCAAGACGCTCTTCATAGAATTCTTCAAGAATTCACCTGGAAAAAGTTGAAAGCAATACTTGAGAAATTATTGACCGAGAAGTTTATATTACTAGGGAAAATGACTGATTCATTTGCAGATTTATGACCGGTTAAGTTTTACACAGGAAAAAACAAAAGGGGGAGGGTCGGGAAACCCCTTTTGGCCAATTATATATTTTTTCAATCAGATAGTTTTCACCATTCTGAGAACTTCTCAAGTAATTTTGGGCCAAAGGTGTCAAATATGAAGCCCCTGGTATTTTTAAAAAGTGAGCCCCTTGCAAAAGCTGGATACGGGCCTGACTTGTACATCTTCTTTATTTTGAATTCATACATTACATTATTCGCTGATGTTTGTGGTAATATTCTAAATATTGAATCCCTTATTTTGAAGTCTTGCTAAATTATCGAGATTGATTAAACGTCTTCGGGGATCCGGGCAGAAATTAAGATACTTGGTTACATTTGCTTTCAAAATGTTTGCACTTTTACAAATATCCGGGGACAAGTATCATGGACGTTGATTGCAATTATGTTCGATGGTCGTCAAAACTTGAAGTATTTATGTCTAAAAAAGGAAAAAATATATGTATGAATAAGTCTAGCTATAAAACATATTTTTATAAAACTTTCTTTACGTTAACATGTTGATCTTGTCGAAGTGCCCCCTTACCTAAGATTAACATGAAGACCGAAAATCAAATTGTTTTCAAGGGGTACTATGTATATGGATGGTATTGATAACAAGAAGTTGTTTTGCTTCTTCGGCCCTTAATTCTGCAATTCTGAATACTAATTAATAATATTAATAAGATTAAAAAGACAAGGCACTGCCGTCGCCCCGGGGCCGTCGCCCCATCATGATGGCATCAATGCAGGTGATAAGAAGTGACAGTTGTTACAGGACGTCTCGATGAAGGTATTCATTCAGGTCTATAATAAAATGATATCATAATGTCATCTAAAACCAAACTCATCTCTACGCGTATTCCTTTTTAGAAAATAACAAAATCCAGTTTTAAAGTGTCAGTCAAATACAAAAGTTTATAGTTACACATATTTAGATTTGGAAATCATAGAACCAAATTTAAATCGCATTTCATAGTTTTAGAGAGATGAATTGCAAATATGTAGATAGCATATGTGATCAAGTCTACAGTAGGAATGCCCCGTGCCCAAACCTGATGCCATGCTCATGAAGACGTCCTATAGACCACCATGTCACCACCACTTTTTGTCATTTTTTGAAGTTTCCTTCTATCTTTTTTTGACTTTGAACACTTGGATAATATGTAATTTTTCCAGAGGCCAAAACACCACTGCTGATTTGTCATAGTTTTATTCGAATCAATACTATATTACATTTATTATTTTAATTTAGAAATATTAAGCACCGTACAACTCTGAATCAATATTTTTTACTTTTGTATATGTGTGACTAATTTTGATAATGCAAATTACTGTAACACTCATAGTTTTGTTATTCAATATAGCCACACAAAGGGCAATTCCACCATTTCAATTATAAATGCAATTGTGTAAATGATTTAATTTTACAAAATTGCGTTTATTATTGTAGCACGGTTGCACACTTTTTGCTCGGGCTTATATCACTCGAACTCTCCTTAGGACACGTTCACGAAACCATCCGGTTATTGTATTTGAGCGTATATATTGTATTTCCTGTATTCCATCATTTTACAATACGACTACATAATATTACAAGAATCCTTTAACTTCTTTCCTGCAGCAAATGAACCAATACCTCCTGCAGCTCCTGCTGCTGCACCAAACGGTCCTCCAAAGAATCCACCAGCTATTCCTCCCACTGCACCAGTTCCTATCGCTTTTGCTATTGTATGCGATACATTAGACGATGGTTCTATTGGTTTGCGTTTTTCCTCTTCATAACGACTTTTAAGTTCTTTAACTGCATCATTATATTTATTCTCATAATCTTCAATATCATTTTTATATGAGCGCATGATAGCCTTTTTCTTTTCGATATGCTGATTTGTCACATTGGAGTCGGGGTTTGATGTTGGCGTGAGTAACTTTTTCATTTCTTCATCCTTTTTCTTTCCTCTTTCCTTCGTTTTCTTTTCAAGTTGTTGTTTATTTTTCTTTAACTCTTTTTCCAAGTCTGCATCAAGCTTTGCATCCCGAATCTTTCTATCTTTTGCCATCATTATTGCAAGGTTATGACTGTCTGTACAGTAATTTATACCAAGGGCCCATTTCTTCAACGCTTTATAAAAGCGTGAAGCCTCGTTTTTCCGATTTGGGGACCGGTTATCGATAATGAAAATTCTATTAGAACATAGTTTAAGTAGTGCATCGAGGTTTGGTAGAGCTTTGCTTTCTTCATCGATTCTTTTTTTGAACTCCTTATCAAGGGATCCATCATCAAAATCATCATCCGGTTGAGCTCCTAAATCGTGTTTTATATCGTCGCCACGAGTAAACAAGAGAATGCCAAACTCGTGCAGAAAATCTTCCCCAAATAGTTTCTGAATGTTCAAATACACATGATAATCTTCCTGTTGAACACGGCCATATTGAACCACAATAAGGAATACATGTGGACCGGGATCTGCATATTGCAATGATATTGCAATGTCATTGATAATCTCTTTTTCGTCACCCTCGATATTATTCAATCCAATGGTATCGATGATTTTGTATCGAGTCGAGTTATTTGTACATTCAAGAGAAACGCTCTTCTTGGTTGCGGCCCTTAAACTAGACAACGCATTAAACGTCCTTTCCTCTTTATCTTGTTTCCCAAGAAGAGTATTGCCTGTTGAACTTTTTCCCACACCGGCTTTGCCAACTAACATAATTCTCGTCGCGTCATCTAAAAAATAATCGTGTCGTGCTTAGTCCAATTTTATTTCAATTTATTTTCCCCTTTACCGTTTGAAAATAATGTTTAAGTACAGGATTTATAGTTGCACTAAAATAATAAAGGGTGTTGCCATTGTGGTGAAAATTGGGAAAATGTTTTGACAGAACAAAAGGACTGTCTGAATTATTCTGGGATTTTTCACCTACATAATCATACCGATATGTGGCAAGGTATGATTCGGCTTATTTCGGAATTTAAGAAACATTTTTTAAATGTCCATATGAGTACGTTTTCAGTATTGTATTGTATTGTATTGTATTGTATTGTATTGTACAGTATTGTATATCGGGTGTTCCAATTAAAATAACTTTTTAACTGGACATTTTACAAAAGTCGTGCATACTTTCTCATCCGTACAGTTAAAACGTTTGTAGTTCTTAGGGTTCAGACAACATACTGTTGTGGAGTGCGTATTATATCAGAGACAAATTATGAACTCAGCTATAGACTAGTTTAAAATGTTCATTTTTGAGTTTTTGAGTTTTCCTCCTCTTTTTAAACGTCTATGAAAGTCATAATATGGATTCATACTATATTCGATTTTTTCCAGGCTCGTTAACCTACAATAATATACCGATGATACACGAAGTTTAAAATTAGTCTTGTATCCACTACGAAACAGTTACGGGAGTTGAGAACGCGAATAGTATCCTCGTCGAGGACAATAGGCAATGCACTCAAAAGCCGCCATTTTATTAAAAACAGTTTATTTCATTTCAATAACTAGAGGCTTTTATTTCATATATAATGCAAGTCAAGTCTTAATCATTATTCGAATAAACAAACGTACACTCATATACTGTATATCCACCGATACAACATGACCTCTTCATGTATGTAACAAATGTCATCAACTTAAAACACACGATTTTAAGGAAATCGATGGATTCATAATCAAATATCAAAATTGATAATGTCATTTTCTACAAGCTAACACATTTAGACTGCCTTTAGACTGCGTCGGGATACTGGACCGTATCCTAACACTGACGTCATTTTCACTCTGTATCCAACGTTTATTTGAAAGTGCGAAGTGTAAATACAGGATATATTTAAGTCAAATGGACCAATATGATTGCAGGGAATTTTACCATCATAGCATGGAATAAGAGCAAATACTACTATGGAATCTTTCATTTTCCACTAGTAATGTACCTATAAATATTAAATAGTCAGAGACCTATGCCTCTCTTCGTTTCAAAACATTTGCCCAACGTATCGGTCTCTGTTAATTTATGGCATCCATACTTTTTTGAAAGGTAACACTTTGGGGCTCAATTTTCTGCCGGATGCCCTTGCAAACTCTCATTGGTTGCTCTGTATTGTAGCATTCCGTTACCATGGTTAAGCACCTATAGACATCTTACCTTGGAATCTTAAATCATTTGTAACTTATAATGTAAATTATTTGGTCTATAGAATTTGATATTGGTATCAAATTAAACCTAATTGAATTTCCCATAAAGTAAGTATATTCAATTATACAAATTAGATAATTTGAATAAATTGTAACGTCATCAATTACTTTTTATTTCAGAAGTTTCGAGTATAGCAACATATCTATTAGAACTGAGGCTGTATGTCAGAATTTCTGCAAAGTTTGGTCCTTTGGAGTATAAGAAGAAGGTATAAGCAACATAAAAGTGAAAACAGATTCAAAATTGGATTAGTATTACCAAAGTTATTAAACTTTTCGGCAGCTACTGTGAATGTCATTATTTGACAATTTTATTCAGACATCTTACCATCGAAGTTTAAAATGTTTGTAACTTTGTCATTATTTGGTCTATAGAAATGATATTGGTATCAAATTAAACCTCATCAATTTTTATGTTCGTTAAGAATGTTTAATTATGCAAATTAGCTAATTTGCATAAATTGTGACGTCATCAATCTATTTTTATTCAGAATATCCGAGTTTAGCAACATATCTATTAGAACTTCGAACCATATGACAGAATGTGTGCATAGGTTTTACCTTAATTTGATGAGTGTAAGATATAGGCAACATTCAAGACACAGCAGATTCAAAATCGGATCAGAATTAGCAAAGCTATTCACCTTTTGGGAAAGCTACTGTGAACGTCATTGTTTGACATTTATAAAAAAAAATATTACAATAGCGAAAAAAGAAACAAACATAGTTGTTTCAATCATATTGAGTAAAAATGCATATGACATATTATTCCATTGAACTCAACATGTAAGTCTGTGGAAATGTTACATGTATTTCGACTATCATTCACAGGGGTCAAAATCGTGTAATCTCGATCCTGTATTTTAAAATCCAATTTTATAATTTACCTTACACTGTCAATGATTCATATAAATACACAGTAATGCTTTAATTATGCTATTGTGACATGTGTTGACTAATATACATATCATGTGTAAAAACTTAAAACAAGATAATAGAGTCAAGGTACAAATTAATTTACATTATCAGTTTTTCTTTCGTTTCGGGCTTAGAAAATACAGTTTAAAGATACATAAGGTTTAAAATGTAGACCCATGACACGCCTAACCATCGACAAGGTACAGTGACAAAATATACAGTAGTATACTTATGATGTACGATGTCGCTTTAACCGATTTGAAGCAATGACTATGATGTAGGTTTGATGTAGGTTTTAAAAAATAATCTGAGGAATGCATTTAGGATTTCATTTTTGATTTTTGTGTATTCGTTTAGGAAGACATTTAACTTTCTAATAACGTTAAAACATTTTCAAACAGTGCTCGATCTTTTCGTAGCCAATCTACCCATATAATTGGTCGGTTGGAAAATGTTGTGTTTTTTTACACATTTCCTTTGATTATTTCCTCCCCTGTCGTCTAAAAGTGTCGAGGATTTTTATGAGAATATGTTTCTTTAAACAGCACAATTAAGGTCTGTTGAAGATTTGATAAGTATTAACATTTTGGCTATAATTTAAAAAATCATAAGTGTATGTTGTCAACTCGAATGTACGTTGTTCCATTGAACTTACTCAATTCACAGTAAACGCTAATACAGTCAACACATTTTTCATAACACTAACAGACAGGGGGATCAGATACATGTAAAATTGGAACAGAACAATTACAGAATTACTTCAATTTGATTGAACTATTGAAACTTTCCAGATATAGCATAAACAGGATTTTAAAATGTCATATTCAATAAGCTAGTATAGATCAGTAAATCTATCTATCGATGTAACTTACAAAACGTAAGGTACAGGCACCAAATAATCAAACAGGCTAGAAGGAGACTCCGTGGCACTGCTAGTATTCAACTTATTCTATTCCGAGACACTTGATGGGAGTTTGGGCTGGAAGCTAACACCAAATGGGCACAAATTAAATGAAAAAAAAACAAAAAGGATACTTGAACATGTTCGTTAAAGATCATTTGTTACTCATAAAAACCTTAATGAATTTTGAAATGAAATCATTACATTGTTTAATATTACGATATCTCATGAATTTCAATTACAGGGACAACGTACATTCGAATTGGCAACGCACATTTCTGATTTTTTTTAAATTACAATAAATACTTGAATATTAATTAATCTCCACATGACAATTAATCTAAACATGACATATTTAGAGTATTCCAAATATATATTTTTTAAAACCTACATCACACCTGCATCATTGTCTTTGCTTCAAATCGGTTAAATAGTGACATCGTACATCTCAAGTGTACTACGGTATATTTTGTCACTGTACCTTGTCGATGGTTAGGCGTGTATGAGGAAATGAGAAACTATGAGGGGTAAGCGTTTTAAACGTTGGTCACAAATGCCATATGGGCAAAATATTGTTCAGAATATTCGAATTTCGTGTTTGATTACGGTACTCACACCATAATATTATACACAGGAATATGCGCCGAGTACTAAAATAATACCTATGACATTCTAGCTTTAATTGAGTACTAAATTCAGTAAAAGAGCACTTATGACATCACTACTGATTAATTGCATTTTAAGTTCTAAATGAGTACTCATATTATGAGTGTAAACATAGCGCTAATTTCATTGATTTTTCATTACTCAATGAGCACTCATGTATATGCCGAGTAGTCAGTAAGCACAAAATTATTACTAAATTTGTCCTCGTGATATGAATGCTAATGAGTGCGATTTTGCCAGAGTGCTTATTGAGTACTAATTGAGTAATCGGCATATCTCCCTGTGTAAACGTGTAATAGCAAAATAAAGGTTTTGGCGCCTTTCTTTATGACAACCAACCTCTAGATATTGTACGTGAGACTGGATACATGGACTTAGTATTAAAACTTAAATAGAGTCACCAAGGGGGTACTTTTTTCGAAGTAAGCAATCGTCTTGCCTGATTTTTCACGTGGCTGCCCCTAGGGATATAGGTGGAATTCCGTGCAAAAAGCATTTATGGCCAACTAATTATCTTTTTATTATAAAATTATACATCTGTTCACTCCAGATGAAACACGTTGTCATCAGGCAATAGTAATTACTTGGTAAATAAGGATTTTGAGACGTTTGGCACTTAAACGCGAAACTTCCGCTAGTACAAGGTACCCTAAGATTAAATCAATAAATATTATCATATGACTATAAGATATTACAATAATCGCGTATCCACCCTCCTAGAGTAAATGAACTAGCACTTGCGGATGCAGCTGTAGCCCCAGCAGCAACAACTCCAGCAGCGCCCGCTATACCTTCTGTTGCAGCAAAACCAGCGGCAGCAGCAGAAACAGCTGCACCAACGGGTGCTGCAGCCATTCCACCAACAATTGAACCTACTATTGCAGTACTTATTCCCAGTGCAATCCCAATTTTTTCTAATACATGAGAGGATGGTTTAACTGGTTTTTGTTTTTCCTTCTTATTTTCATGTTTGAGTTTTTCAACTTCCTTTGTGTGATTTGTTTTCAAGTCGGCTATAGCCTTTTCATATGAGTTCATGATAGCTTGTTTCTTGTCTCTATGTTGTTTGTCCGCGAAGGATAATTCTTCATCCTTTTTGTTTCCTCTTTCCTTCGTTTTCTTTTCAAGTTGTTGTTTACTTTTCTTTAACTCTTTATCCAAGTCTGCATCAAGCTTTGCATCCCGAATCTTTCTATCTTCTGCCATCATTATTGCAAGGTTGTGACTGTCCGTACAGTAATCGATACCAAGGTCCCAATCACCCAACGCTTTGTAAAAGCGCGAAGCCTCGTAATTCCGATTTTGGGACCTGTTATCGATTATGAAAATTCTGTTCGAACACAGTTCACATAGTTTCCCGAGCTCTGGTAGAGTCTCGCTTTCCTCAACAATTTTCTTTTTGAACTCCACAACAAGGATTTCATCATTTATTTCATCATCCAGTGTCGCTTCTAAGTCGTGTTTTATATCGTCGCCGCGAGTAAACAAGAGAATTCCATATTTTTGCAAAAACTTTTCCCCAAATAGGTCCCGGATTTTCTCATAGACACGAAAGTCTTCTTCTGTCACCCGGCCGTATTCAGCCACAATAATGAATACGTGTGGACCGGGATCTGCGTATTGCAATGATAATGCAATTTCATTGACTATTTCGTTTTCATTGCCATCAATATTGGTTAATCCAGGAGTGTCGATGATTTTATATCGGGTTGAGGCATTAGTACATTCAAAAGATTTACTCCTTTTGGTCACTGATGTTAAACTTGATGATGCAGTAAACGTTCCTCCCCCTCCTTCTCGTTTCCCAAGAAGAGTATTGCCTGTTGAACTTTTTCCCACACCGGCCTTGCCAACTAACATTATCCTCTTCGCGTCATCTAAAAAGTAATTGTCTCGTGCTTATTTTATGGACTATAGTCATACTGTATATTAGACAATGGTCAACTCTGATAATTGTAACACCTTCCTGTCATGGAAGGTCACACATTCCAACGTATTTTAAACAATCTTTATGATTATGCTGGACACTTTCTGGTTATTTGGACTTCATGTAGGGGTGGCAGACGGCTCTCAGTCAAATTTATACCCCTACCCAAAGAAAACCTTCGGGTTACTCTAATACCACCCAATAAAAAGAATACTAATGCATGTCATAAATAAATAGTTTTATTGTAGGTAAGGCATGCCATGGTTAGTCAGTGTCAGAAATTTCCAATCTCTAGCTTATATGGTTATCATGGAAACAGTATTTAGATCTCAAAATCTTATCAATTTGACTCCCTCCCAAATATGTCCCTTGGTTCTCAAAAGCACTAAAAAGTTGATATAATGCTCCTATAAATCAATAATATTTATCAATTATAGTCACACACAACTACTTTTTGGGAAAGTGGGCGTGGCACTTTTGGTACTTGTGTAATTGTTGCAGCATCAAATGAAAAATACATATTACACTAACCACAATTGACATTAAATTATCATCTACTAACACTGTGTGACATTGTAATATGTCCATTATCATTATTAGATACTTAAGATATTTTATGTTATTGTTATCATGACCTTTCCTTTTATCCATATACCCTACAAGGTGGGCATCACCAATGGTGTCAAAAATACCACAGACATCTCAAAATCTTATCAATTTGACTCCCTCCCAAATATGTCCCTTGGTTCTCAAAAGCACTATAAAGTTGATATAATGCTCCTATAAATCAATAATATTTATCAATTATAGTCACACACAACTACTTTTTGGGAAAGTGGGCGTGGCACTTTTGGTACTTGTGTAATTGTTGCAGCATCAAATGAAAAATACATATTACACTAACCACAATTGACATTAAATTATCATCTACTAACACTGTGTGACATTGTAATATGTCCATTATCATTATTAGATACTTAAGATATTTTATGTTATTGTTATCATGACCTTTCCTTTTATCCATATACCCTACAAGGTGGGCATCACCAATGGTGTCAAAAATACCACAGACATGAGGCAAAAGCTTTACTTACAGTACTGACCTCATGAGGTGCTATGTATATGGATAGATGGATTGATACTAGTAGGTAGATGGCAGCACTTTTGCTAGTTGGGCTAGATACTAGGATTTACCATTGACACAAGTCGCTTAAATTTAAATTTGATAATGTTCAGATTGTGTTTGAAACTTGATGATAATCAGATTGTGTTTGATGATGTTTAGATTGTGTATGAACTTGAAAAAATACCACTGAAAGAATAAGTCAATGTTTAAGACTCTTTAACATTATCCCAATGAGAATTTTGCCTGTGAAATATATATAGTAAAACTTTACTTCAGCAAGATTTCAAAGTTAAATAGCAAATCTCATCACTCGCAATTTTTTTTATTATTTATCCCATTATTTGTTGCTGATTTAGAAATTGCAAGGCATCCAAATGACCTAGGGAAGCCAGTGATAAGAATTGGCCTTATTCATAGACTTACAGTGGAATGGAATATTGTGAAGAACACGAGAACTGTTCCACAGCCTCACAAGAAATATGGGAGCAAAGTCATCAAGAGATGTTGGAGCTAGGCTATTCTTATAGAGAGATTTGCAACTCTCCAGGGAAGTGTCTCAATTTGGTAAAAAATACGTAGCCCGTAGGGCGAGGGTAATACATGTTGCATAAATCATTGAAAGTGTAACAGGTATTGCCCGAACATAGAATGAAACATTTGTTTAAATATATGATTGCTAGACATTCACAAATTATCATTCTCCATAGTTCCAATATCATATAAATTGATTTGGTTCAGATATCAAAGCATAACGTCAACTATAAAGTAGTTTAATTGAATGTAAATTTAAAATTGACAATTACCGTCCGCCATCATAGATGTGAAGGTAACAGCAGTGACCTTTGCTTGATACTGACCAGTGCCCTTGCTCTGTTACAAACTTTTATTGCTCTCTGTTTGTATCCACTCCCACCTTGATTAAGGCCATAAATATGAATTTGATTTAAAGTTTATATGAGAGATACTAGCGAAGGGTTGTTTTATGATAAATGAGTTCATATAACTTAATCCAAGTCATAATTGTTACTAGAGTATGGTATGCAATTCACACATGCATGAGATAACATCATACTCTAAGGATGGAACGATTCATTACTTTCCAACTGCATGAAATGGTTCTAAATATTGTAACATAACAAACGTTTAATTACGTTTGACTCATAGATCTTGATCAATGGAACCATTCATATTCTAGGAACAGGTCAATGAATAAGACTTCGACAAACTACGGACCTCTAAGACTTAGACTTATAGTTAATTTGACAATTGGTGACCTATGATAGGAAGGGTCTTGATAACACTCATATAAAATATTTAAAGTGTTTTATCATGATAGTTAACATATTACAATGTTACACAATGCTAGTAAATGATAATCAAATGTCATTTGTTGTTAGTGTAACATGTATTTTTCATTTAATGCCACAACAAATTCACAAGGACCAAAAGTCCCACGCCCACTTCCCCTAAAGGTAGTTGTGTGTGACTATATTTGATAAATACAATTCATTTATGGGATCATTGTCAACTTTTTATTGATTTAGTGTGAATTCATACATATAAATAAAACTTTTGACAAAGTAGCAGCCATAAAATCCAAACAGATTTGCAAATATTTCAAATTGAGAACTAAAGGACACATTCGGGAGGGGTCAAAATGAGTAGATTGTGAGATATGATACTGTTTCCATGGTAATCATATAGGTCAGAGATTGGAATTTTTTGCACTGACTAACCATGGCATGCCCTACCCACTATAAAAATGAATATCTGATATGTATTAGTATTCTTTTTATTGGGTGGTATTAAAGTACCCCCGGGGATTTCTTCCGAACTTCCCAGAAAGTGTCCAGCATAAGCATACAGATTGTTTGAAATATGTTGGAATGTGTGACCTTCCATGACAGTAAGGTTGCATTTCTAGAGCACTTCTACAGAATGGACCGCAGGAAATATCTTGCTATTATGATATTCAGTGACTTTTCTGATAATTATTCTGACTAAATTCAATTATTGGCTGTCGGACTGCAGGGTAACTCCAGGGTGTTCAAAAATGCAACCCAAAGAAATCGCTATATCTTGAAAATTACTGGTTCAATTATGTTCATATTTTCAGGAAAAAAGAAGAGACTGTGTATGTATAGCTCTTGCAAATGGTTAGTTGTAAAACATGATGCCTTGGACACCTGCTCAAAATACAGTTGTATTAGGAGAATAGAAAAAACGCAGATGACTCCAACCGCAAAATCTTCATTCACTATATGGTAAATCTGTAGAGTGAAATCAAAATCACTTCAGGGACTTCACTGTCATGGTTAAAATGCTTTCAAATTTCAGTCAAACGCCCTGGTCCGGGCAGACTTAAGAAGGCATTTTGACCATGACTGTAAAGTCCCTTGAGTGATTTTAATGAAACTCCACAAATTCACCACACATTGAATGAGGATAATTCGTGCTAAATTTGAAGTGCCAAAACACAATTGTTGGAAAGTTATTCGGTTTTATTGCTGTGGCACCTCTGACTGCGTTTTCGTATTTTTCTAGTACAACTATCTTTTGAGCAGGTGTCCAAGGCATCATGTTTTACAACTTACTGACAACAGGAGCTATACATACACAGTCTCTTCTTTCTTTTCCTGAAAAAATGAACATAATTGAATTAGTATTTTCCAAGATATAGTGATTTTCCATTCGCTTTTTTGTATTTTGCTAGTACAACTCTCTTTTGAGCAAGTGTCCAATACATCATGTTTTACAACTAACTAACAACAGGGGCTATACATACACACTTTCTTCTTTCTTTCCTGAGAATATGAACATAATTTGATTAGTATTTTCCATATATATTTCTTTGGATTGCGTTTTTTGTACGTGATTTTTGATTATTTTTAATAATTCTGATAATGATAGTCAATCAAACACAAATTCTGTTAATAATAGTCACGCAAACACATTAAATAATTGTATATTTTGTTGAAACTTGCTGACGTTTTACATGATGTCACATAAATCGAAATTGAATTAGAGCTAATAAGAATGGAATAACATAAATATGTAAATACAGCGCACTTAACAATAAGCGCATGAAGAACACCACATTTCAAATTGAATTTGTTACATATAGCGTCATAACTGCTTCATTATTCGCTTGGAATAAATTCCCTTATACGAATATTAATGTTACATTTACAAATAAAATTCCCAAATTACAAATACAAATATGACGTATCAAATAAACAAATAGATACTAAATTCGAGTGCATTTTATGTTTGTAAGGACTAGAAATATTTGTAACTAACAATTTATTATTCGCCAACTACAGCTTTCAATTTGTAAATTTTCCAAAAATTGCCTGTTATTTTATCGAAGAGGTGTATTTTTACCAATAATAATCTTGTAAATTACTAATGAATTATTGCTGAAAGCAAAGGAATATTCTCACATTAGCGAATGATAAAATGAAACTTTACGAATATAAATGTGAGTTTACAAATACAAATGTGAATTAACGAATATATACTGCAAGTATCGAGGCATAGGTCACGTGAAATGAGAGTTTTAGGTGTTAGTGGGGGCGATGACTTTGACCATGGGTTGACCATGTCTTGTTGAGAATGATCACGTGATCTTGATAAACCAATGAAAAACGAATATAAAAGTGCAATTTACGAATACAAATGACAATATTTACGAACAATAAATGTGCACTTTTACGAAAACATATTACCTTATTACGAAAATAAATTCTAATATTAAAAAATAAAAATGCCAAGGCTAGTACTTATTCATTGATAAGTTCGACATTCGGTTCGTAAATATATTTGCAGAAACAATGATAAAGGTACAAAAT